ATAGAACTTTTTGGTAAAAACTCAACTCGTCGTGTTTGGAAGACAAAGAATGCTGAGTTGCATCCAAAGAACACCATACCTACTGTGAAGCATGGGGGTGGAAACATCATGCTTTGGGGCTGTTTTTCTGCAAAGGGACCAGGACGACTGATCCGTGTAAAGGAAAGAATGAATGGGGCCATGTATCGTGAGATTTTGAGTGAAAACCTCCTTCCATCAGCAAGGGCATTGAAGATTAAACGTGGCTGGGTCTTTCAGCATGACAATGATCCCAAACACACAGCCCGGGCAACGAAGGAGTGGCTTCGTAAGAAGCATTTCAAGGTCCTGGAGTGGCCTAGCCGGTCTCCAGATCTCAACCCCATAGAAAATCTTTGGAGGGAGTTGAAAGTCTGTGTTGCCCAGCGACATCCCCAAAACATCACTGCTCTAGAGGAGATCTGCATGGAGGAATGGGCCAAAATACCAGCAACAGTGTGTGAAAACCTTGTGAAGACTTACAGAAAACGTTTGACCTGTGTCATTGCCAACAAAGGGTATATAACAAAGTATTGAGAAACTTTTGTTATTGACCAAATACTTATTTTCCACCATAATTTGCAAATAAATTCATTAAAAATCCTACAATGTGATTTTGTCTGTCATAGTTGACGTGCACCTATGATGAAAATTACAGGCCTCTCTCATCTTTTTAAGTGGGAGAACTTGCACAATTGGTGGCTGACTAAATACTTTTTTCCCCACTGACAAGGATGTTAGTATACTGGTATAAGGCTGTAAGATATTTTTAGTCTGATGTAAGTGTAAATTATGCAAGAAATTATGTTGTCTCTGTCAGAACGTCTTGCTCATGGCAGTTTGACTTTATTTGGTCCTCTGGAACATAGTGTGGCCAGATGTATTGAGCTCATTGGGAGGTGTCATCCTGTTTAGATGTTTCCACTACAACTCCCTGTCTCTCTCTAAAGCCAGGGTAAGCCTGTGGCAGAACCCTGGCTATGGGGAAAGACTCTGGGCGAGGCTTCCTGGGAATAATAACCTAGATGACTCAACCTTCTTATATTGGACCTAGTATATGACCTACAGTATCTGTGAAAGAGGACTAATATAAGAAGTGTCTCAAAGACATAAAGGGAAGGTGGCAGCAGGGGATTGTCAAATGTTTCCAGACTGGTGTGTCATTGTTATACTACCATCTGAAACTTCAGTGTCTATGTACAGCGTGAACTTACTGAAGCATACATTATTCTCACGGGAAGTATTTATTTGGTTCAGTCAGCAGGGGTGCATCCTTTGACTATATTTACTTTTTTCATTTCTGTTATTGGAAACTAACATCCTTGTCACGCATTACCGCTTGCACACCCTTGTTTGTGTATCGGTGGGCATCTTTCGCAAGACTGCACAACATTTACATTTTAGTCATTTAGCAGACGCTCTTATCCAGAGTGACTTACAGTTTGTGAGTGGATACATTATAATTTTTTTATTTTATTTTTTTATACTGGCCCCCCATGGGAATCGAACCCACAACCCTGGCGTTGCAAACGCCATGCTCTACCAACTGAGCTACATCCCCGACAGAGCCTGGATTTGAACCAGGATCTCTAGTGGCACAGCTAGCACTGCGATAGAGTGCCTTAGACCACTGCGCCACTCGGGAGACAAGGCATCATTGTACTACACCCGGTGCTACCATTTACCTAAACCAATAACACTTTAACGTGTGGAGACATTGTAATGCAATGTTAAGAGTCATATAGAAACTTGTATTACTATATTTGTAATTTAGGTAAATTCTGAAACTGTAGTTTGAATAGAAATAATACATTGTTGGATTTTCTGATGGTGTATAGGGCACTTAAATGGTGCTTTCTATAAACGTGTCAAAATCATTCCACAGAGGGTCTGTGGGTTTTCACTCCTCCCTTGTACTTGATTGATTAATTAATGTCACTAATTAGTAAGGAACTCCCCTGGTTGTCTAGCTCTTAATTGAAAGGAAAAACCAAAAATCAGCAGACACTAGGCCCTCCATGGAATGTGTTTGACACCCCTGCTATAAACAAATGACAGACTCAGGACTAAAATAAATCTATACCTGCCCCATATGGACATCCTGTCCTTGGATGAGCGGTTCATCAGTAATCAAATGCTGATAGCGTGGCAAGTCTACGCAAATACACAGAACAAAAATATAAACACAACATGCAACAATTTCAAAGATTTGACTGAGTTACAGTTCATATAAGGAAATCAGTCAATTGAAATAAATTCATTAGGCCCTAATCTATGGACTTCACATGACTGGGAAACAGATATGCATCTGTTGGTCACAGATATCTTAAAAAAAAAAAAAGGAGTGTGGGATCAGAAAGCCAGTCAGTATCTGGTGTGACCACCATTTGTTCATGGAGCGCGACACATCTCCTTCACATATAGTTTATCAGGCTGTTGATTTGTCCCATTCCTCTTTAATGGCTGTGCGAAGTTGCTGGATATTGGCGGGAACTGGAACACGCTGTCGTACACGTCGATCCAGAGTCCCCCAAACATGCTCAATGGGTGACATGTCTGGTGAGTATGCAGGCCATGGACGAACTGGGACATTTTCAGCTTCCAGGAATGGTGTACAGATCCTTGCGACATGGGGCCGTGCATTATCATGCTGAAACATGAGGTGATGGCAGCGGATGAATGGCACGACAATGGGCCTCAGGATCTCGTCACGGTATCTCAGTGCATTCAAATTGCCATCGATAAAATGCAATTGTGTTCGTTGTCTGTAGCTTATGCCTGCCCATACCATAATAACCCCACCGCCACCATGGGGCACTCTTCACAACGTTGACATCAGCCCGTTACAGTTGAAACCAGGATTAATCCCTGAAGAGCACACTTCTCCAGCGTGCCAGTGGCCATTGAAGATGAGCATTTGCCCACTGAAGTCGTTTACGACGCAAAACTACAGTCAGGTCAAGACCCTGGTGAGGACGATGAGCACGCAGATGAGCTTCCCTGAGATGATTTCTGACAGTTTGTGCAGAAATTATTCGGTTGTGCAAACCCACAGTTTCATTAGCTGTCCTGGTGGCTGATCTCAGACCATCCCGCTAGTGAAGAAGCTGGATTTTGAGGTCCTGGGCTGGCGTGGTTACACGTGGTCTTGGGATGTGATGCCAGTTGGACATACTGCCAAATTCTCTAAAACGACGGAGGCGGCTTATGGTAGAGAAATTAACAATCAATTCTCTGGCAACAGCTCTGGTGGACATTCCTGCTGTCAGCTTGCCAATTGCACGCTCCCTCAAAACTTGAAACATCTGTGGCATTGTGTTGTGTGACAAGCCTGCACATTTTAGAGTGGCCTTTTATTGTCCCCAGCACAAGGTGCACCTGTGTAATGATCATGCTGCTTAATCAGTTTCTTGATATTTGAGAGAAATAAGCTTTTTGTGCGTATGGAACATTTCTGGGATCTTTTTATTTCAGCTCATGAAAAATTAGACCAACACTTTACATTTATAGAATTGGGGACAGTTAACAAGTTGACAAGCTAGGCTTTTAATAGTCATGTTTTGACAGAAGTTGGTTGGGAACTGGATTGGGTGGGAACTGGGTTGCCCTGCCAGTTTAACCACCATCATAGGAAAAATATTTTGTCTGTCCAAAGAATGTATAGAAAAGAGGGTGTGGTTAACTATTGCCCCCACTACATGTTCAGAGGCATGATCTTGCCTCACTACTTTTTGTGTGCAGAAGTAAGAAGTTTATAATCTAAAAAGGGAGTGTTGCTCTCGGTGGACCTGCTCTGCAACATGAATACAGGCTGGAACAGAAATGTGGGTGAAATTGGAGGATCAGGAGTGGAGGTAAATCAGTGAAGAGAAAGAAGAGGCAGACAATGTTAGTGTAAACAAATTATTTTTTTAAATACTTAAAAATAAAAAATATCTTGTGCCTATATATTTGACCCTTAGATTTGTCCCCAAAGTGAAATTGGCCGTAGCGCTTTCCACTCTTGTCTTGACAGACATGGGTGCAATTAGAATTTCAGGAGGAAATTCGATATGTAAAACATATCAACTTTGACTCACTCCTATTTTGGAGTGCACCTTAGTCCACTTATCATACATGATTTCCAAATATCAGTGGAAAAACACAGGTTGTAGGCTATACAGTGTAGCTTACTAATGGGCCAGTTTGTTTTGGATGGCCCGGTGACCCAGTTGGGTGGAGATTTTACTTAAGGACCAATGGAATGGTCTAAAATGTGCAAACTCTGCCCACCCGGGGCACCAGGCCATGCAAAACGAACTCGCCCAGTGAATAAAGCCTAAGTAGCTGACGTAAATACAGATCTGAATAGAAAAAAGTATACTTACATGTCTAGTCACCCTCTTACGCCACCTCCCCCTCCAACTATATAATACACCCTACTCTAGATAGTATTTTATTAAGCATAAGAACATTTCAGCGGGTAGGCCTACAGATCCAAATACACATAAAACGTGGATGAAATTATGAATCTGGGGTATAATATCGTGTTCTTTTTATCAATTGCCATACATCCCTCAGGTAAGATGATTATATTCGTAAACATAGCATTGCACAGTCCACTGTAACACTGACAATGTAATTTGTAGCATTTTTACATATTCATCTGATTAATGCAGTGATTGAAATTGCCACTGTTGCTGAGTACTACAAAGCAGGGTCAATGAGTTAACCAGCTAACTTCCCTAAATATATTGAAATAACTTTGTAATTTTTATTTAAGATAAGCTTGAAATGGACATGGTATAATTGTCTCAACAACCAAAAACACATATCGAAGTTTATTTCTTAATGAACCAGAAAATCAATAGTTACTTATGTTTTTTTATCAAAGTTATAGCTGGCTAACTCATCCATCCTGCTTTACCTCTCTGGTGTGGCTCATTTGTTTGTAAACAGCTCAAGTTCCATCGGAATGTGGTGCGCCGCCGTCCTTTCCACATATGCAAGTCAGGGACAAATACCTGAGACAAAACATATTCAGCAATGGAGAAAAAGTCCTCTACAGATGCGCTGAGGGCTACACTCAGTACAGAGGCATTCGCTCTATCATGTGTGAAGCTGGAAAATGGACAAAGTTATCCATGAAGTGTGAAAGTAAGTAATAGGCTACAGCTAAGCATTTAGCTCAGTATATTGTTATTGTGTGGTTCAATGAATGGCATGTCATCATATCATTATGGTTATGATAAGTGTCTCTCTCTGTCAGAGTCTGATGTGATGCGTGGGATGAGATTGTTGTGGCAAGGAGCTATCATTTGACACTTCTCTGGTGGTTGCAAAGAGACAAAATTTGGGAAGTTTAATTTATGTTCTCTTCAGTCCTTGAGGGCTGCAGTGTTGCCTTCTTAACACTTCTCTGTGTGAGTCTTTATGTTGAGTTTGGCACATCCACCCTGGATTCGTTCCCTGACTGCTCTGCTGTTTTCTAATGTGTCCTCTTGTGCTCTCCTTAGAGAAAATATGTGGATCTGCTGGGGAGTTGTTCAATGGACACTTTGATTATAAAGGGGCTTCGTTCGGGGACAAGGCGTATGCAGTGTGCAATGAGGGGTAAGTAACCCACTGGGTAAAAACTGATTAAATCAACGTTGTTTCCACATAATTTCAACCCAAAAAATCAATGTGATGACGTTGAATCAAAGTGGAAAACTGATTTGATTTGCAAAAATCAACTTAAGGGCGTTTAGTAATTTTTTTCACCCAACTTTTAAACTAAATAACATGGTGACATTTTATGGTTGTTTTCACGTTGAATTCACATTAGTTGAAAACTCAACCAAATGTTAATAAAAAACTAGACGTTGAACTGACATCCGTGCCCAGTGGGAAGTGTCTTGAATGTAAGGAAATAGGTCTATAGCCTGAGCTTTGTTTTCATCCTCTCTGTGATTCTGGAACAGGTTTACACTGAAGGGGGTGGAATACAGAATGTGTAAAGACTCTGGCTGGAGTGGAGAGATTCCCACTTGTGAAGGTGTGCAACATTCAATGACCAATCTTACAGTAATATGCAGCAATAAGATATATCCCTTTCTAAGTAGGATATATAACATGCCTCCTAATCAATTTAGTAGGCCCTGCTGTATGAAATACCAGATTGGCATGACCCTGTACTTGTCTAAGAGATTGTAGGCACGACACACCAAGATCCTGCTGTTGAGATTTGACCATATTGGCCTTGGACGTTCAGTCCATAGTTGTCCCATTATCACAAAAGCATGATAATATCACGTAAACAAACGTTTCTTTAGGCTACTACAGCATGGCTAATGTCCTATCTAATGTACTGCAACGTTGTTGTGCTTTTTACCAAAGCATGAGGTCATTGTCTCCATGGAGACATCTTATTTTCTTCCTTATCTCCAAAATGAGCCACAAAAACAATGATGTCATTATTGATGCAAAAATGAATTTAACAAAACCACAATAACATTTGAAATGTCCTCATTCTAGTGGGAGGTGAACCACAAGTGCTTCCAGCAGAAGTGACCTGCCCTGATCCTTCCATAGCCAACGGTGTGAAGCTGAGTGAGGCTGTCTCAGTGTACAGGGTCAGAGACTCAGTGACCTTCACCTGCTCTAAGGGTTTCCTCCTGACTGGAGCCCAGCAGCTCACCTGTGGACCAGATGGCCAGTGGCAGCCCCAGCTCCCACTCTGTCAGGCCTCTAATGATATAACTCAAAGCTCCAAGCCTGATGGTAAACATAACACCATCTAAGATCTGTCTCTTTGATAATTGAAAGATATAATACACATTATGATGCATTGGTATTATACCAGATGTCATTTCTATCTATTGTCAAAATGGTCCATCTCCCTTTCCTTTAGGCAGATGTGGAGTGCCACGGTACCTCCCCAACGCACACCTTTCTGACAGGTATATAACACAGACAGACTTTGGTCCTGGTGAACGGGTCAGTTACAGTTGTGCCTTGGGATACATGAGAAAAAGAGGCACTTACTATAGTACCTGTGTCAGTGGGAAGTGGACGCCAGTAACTCTGAGATGTGAACGTAAGAACCCATAAGAAGAAGTATTAATGAATATATGAAAAGTACATGCACAGTATATAGTACCTAAAGAACATTCAACAAATTGTTTAAGCTTTAGGTGGCAGCAGAGCCATAGCTAGTCTATAATATATCACTATGTGGTAGTGAAGGTTTGTGTATTTTGTTCTTTGTAAAAAAAAATATATTTTAATGTTTCTTGTCCAAAGGCAAATCATGTGGATCGGCTGGAGAGATCTCTTATGGTAATTTCGTCTATACCGGTGTCGAGTTTGGGGATACAGCCACAGGGGTTTGTAATGAGGGGTAAGTTCTATTCTGCTAGTATTTCTATTTGCTCTCGAGGCTACCTAACCCTCATAATTGTTGCAGTGTACAAATAAAATGATGCGTTGCCAGATTAAATCACTTTTTGTACCCATTTTTTTTAACCAGGTATCAACTGGTTGGACGGGATGTAAGAAATTGCATGTCTGATGGCTGGGATGGGCGTGTTCCGATCTGTGAAGGTAGGCTGTCACATACATTTTTTCGATAGGCTACTGGGCGATTCCACACCAGCGGGAGCTGGAAATATTTTTGGTATCTCAGATTGTTCTGGCAATTCTCACATAGCAACTTCATTGGGAGGAAGAATGTTTAACATGCTTTTTACATTTGTATCACAAACTATTTTTGAGAAAATCATGATAAAATCGGCCATTTTAGGCCCTTTTTAGACCTATACATGCCTCCTGTAAGACCCTATGATCTGTGAACCGTACATGATACAGACATCTTCTCTCAGAAGAATGTCTAGATTCTTAAATACAAGTTCTCACATTAATTTATTCAACATAAAAAATATGAATATCCCAAAACTACTCTTTTTGATTTTGCTTATTTTTAGACATATTGTTTGTAACAATATACTCTTCAAACACGTCAAATTTCCAGAATGGGCTCTCTGGTACTTTTTCTGGTAATTTTACATTTACAGTCATTTAGCAGACACTCTTATCCAGAGCGACTTACAGTTAGTGAGTGCATACATAATTTTTTTATTTTTCATACTGGCCCCCCGTGGGAATCAAACCCACAACCCTGGTGTTGCAAACACCATGCCGGCCATTCCCTCCCTTACCCTGGACGACACTTGGCCAATTGTGCACCACCCCATGGGTCTCCCGGTCGCGGCCGGCTACGACAGAGCCTGGATTCGAACCAGGATCTCTAGTGGCACAGTTAGCACTGCGATGCAATGCCTTAGACCACTGCGCCACTCAGAGGTGTTGATGGTGCTTATAAAATGTATAATACCGTCACAATTAGCAGAGAGCCAGCTCTGGAAATTGTATGTATATACTTGTACAGTATATATTGTTACAAACAATATGTCTTAAAATGAACAAAATCAAAAAGGGAAGTTTTGAGTTATTAATATTTTCAATGTTATAAATGAATGTGAAAAATTGTGTTTCAGAATCAAGACATACTCCATATTTTAGAGCACGCTATAAGGAGTATAATGACACCCAGATGTTGTCTGTATCATGTATGGTCTTACAGGAGGCATGTATAGGTCTAAAAAGTGCCTAAAATGTCCACTTTCATCATGATTTTCTCAAAAATGGTTTGTGATACAAATGGAAAAAGCATTTCAAACATCCTTCCTCCCAATGAAGTTTCTATGTGAGAATTGCCAGAACAGCCTGAGATACCGAAAATATTTTCTGATGGCATGGAACCGAATCGCCCTACTGCACCACACTGTATCACACCTTGGTCATAGGTAAATTGCTTTAGGTATCTTTGTTTTAGTTTATAACAACCCTGAACGTCCAATACTGTCACCATAATCTTTTCAAAATTGTTGTAATGTAATCATGTAAATCATGTAAATGTGTGTCTTTCAGCTGTGCAGTGTGCTGAACTTCCTGAGGTGGTAAATGGAGAGACAAATGGCTATTTGGAACCACCTTACTTTTACAGCACTGTGATTGGCTATCGATGTCGTGTAGGGACACTAATTGGAGCGAGGGAGATCTACTGTACCAAAAATGGGACATGGAGTGATCCACCTCCAAAGTGCAAAGGTTCCAAATCTTTTTCAAGTCTATAGCTTCTACAGCTGCACTATTTTGCAATGTTTTTTAGCAAACTAGGAACATCCCTTAGGTGTTGAGAACTTGGCCCCGAGAGTAATGTTAGGGAACAAACCGCTCATCCCCTTTAAAAACAATAGAACGAAAATTTATGTTGTCATTTAAATCTCTGTTCACAGACATTAAATGCCTTTATACCAGAGTCCAAAATGCTTAATGGACAAGAGAAGCAAGAATGTCTTTTGAGTTTGATGACTGTAACATTTGTCTGTGATAGGGGCGTGGTGATGGATGGACCAGGGAATTGGACTTCTGCCCTTCCCACATGTAAATGTGAGTAATTCTGAAGGTTCTATTCACTGACAATATAACACGTTGTAAGCTTGGCTGATACATAACTGGAGTGCATTGTATAAAATTGTCCCTTTTTTTTTTTTTTTTTCTTGTTTTACAGACCGGAAGTAATGAAAGTCAGCTACAATTGATCATTATCCTGAATGGCATCAACTCAACAACTTTACCATAATAACTTTTACCATAATAATTCAACTCAATCCATTTTACCTTAGGGCATTTCCAACAAAAGGACCCATGAGCACCAACATGTGAAATTCATAGGATCATGTCAAATTGGGTGTCAAATGAAAGCTAAGAGTCTATTATACAAATATTTATTAAGACATATATACAACCATTTTCCATCCTAAAAATGTGGAATAAGCAAAGGCTTTGATTTCTGGTCAAATATATGGAAAAGGGATCTTAGACAACATCTACCAGAAAAAGTCTTAAAAGTTATTTGAAATACAGCAAAACACAATAATATTGAACCCATGCCAACTAATATCAACACATATTTCGTTTTGGAGAAATTATTTAGTTTAAGAAACATTGCCTTGTGACTTGTAATTTCGTTACCAAAAACCGACATATCTTTAAGATATTTTCTAATTTCTCTCCCTCATGAGGAGGAAGGATAATGAAAGTTCAAAGAATTAACAAGTAAAGGTAAACCTACCAATTAGTTTAAATATGTTTTATTGTCACATACACCGGATAGGTGCAATGAAATGTGTTGTTTTACTGGGTCAGCCATAGTATCGGGATGCCCCTGGAGCAAATTAGGGTTAAGTGCCTTGCTCAAGGGTACATTGACAGATTTTACACCTTGTTGGCTTAGGTATTCAAACCAGCAACCTTTCGGTTACTGGCCAAATGCTCTAACCGCTAGGCTACCTGTCACCCTTCAGGATACATCACCATGAAGAGAATGATATTCATATCCATAGTTTTGCATTTCTGTAGCTGACATCCCACTCTTTCTGCAGACATATTTGAATCTTAATTCGGAGTAGATATTTAGTTTTTGGAAAAAGTGGTCGCATAAAAAACTGACGGAGAATTTACCGTAATTCTGTATCCAAACTTTGCATCTGCACAGTTCTTCCAGTAAATGTGTGTCTGTGAGATTTGTTGTGTAAATTGCTCAAAGTAGTCCTTGTGCATAGAGGTTTGTATGGTTTGTTAAACTTTAAAATCAATGTTTTTTGTTTGGCATACATTTACCATGGAATTGCCCCATAATACATGAATATCCTAATGACTGTTGTCTTTAAATACCCTGTCTGTCTTCTGGAATGCATGGTATAAAATATTGTATCAAGAGATGACACACGTGAATTTGAAACTATTTTTTATTTTTTATTCCTGCTTCAAGTTTGTATCTGTGGAATTTGGCACACGTTCCCTGAGAGGTGGGGCAGCTTTGAGGTGCATGTTGCTTCAGGAATGAATGAGTGAGTTGGTGCCAAACTGACAATACGCAGTGGCACTGTCTGTCTGTCTGTGCCAATGAGAGCCCAGCCCAAGGGCCTTCCTCCCTTCACTGTTCAGGCCTTGAGCAGGAGGACCAGTTAAAGGGGAAATCTGCGGTTGCTACATACATTTTTTTACTTATAAATTAACGATATGTACCCTTTGATTCTTGAAGAATATAACTTATAAATGCCTCATGAGCTTAGTTTAACTGTCGTACACCACCAGAACCCAAAATATAAACTTGTTTTACACCAATGTTTGTAAACAAAGTAAATGTAAACAAACACTATATATATAGCCTCAAAACATGGTTAAAACTGGTCAGTCCTTGCATCCAGAGCTCTGTCTACTAATTTAAGAGTGGTTACATTTCTCCAACCCCATCCCTCAGCTTTTTACCGAAACAGTGGCAGGGACAACACTTTGTTATTGTTTCAACTGCTGATTGCTTCTTTAAAGGGAAGAATTGATGAACAAATGCAGAAATAAAATAGTGCTTTGTGCTTCTCTGTGACATGATGGTGACATGATTATAGCAATATGCTATTTAGAACAAACATGCATCTCTGACATGTAGAATAAGGAATCCCATCGGCTCTATTTGTGGCATTTCTGTCTGCAACGTTAAAGAACGTTTTCATACTGAACATGGCCATAAACAGGTGGTCAACCTTCAGAGCTTGTGTGAGCACCATGCTGCCACTAGAGGGCAGTCCAGGTTTCTGCTGGATGTTTTGTGCTGAATAGGTGTGTAGGCAGTCGTCTGTAAACCTATGCAGACTAGTCTCTCCTCACAGCTGCTGTATATGCAGACTGGCACATTGAGAGACTATAGAGGGGTGTGGTAATTGCACAGTCATGATTGAGGCTGTAACTTCATGTGCTGATGGAAGACAACATACTGTTTACAGACCACTTTACAATGGACTGCTGGTGTTGCCCTTATTTTCATGTGCTGTCTGGTTAGGACCATTGGGAGAAATATGTGATCCACCATGTAAGTCTGGAAGATTATGATTATCTGCACAACTAGTACACAGAGCTGACAGGGGAAAGTTCTGGAGCCTCTCAGGCAGTCCAGCCACAGCTACACAGGCCTTCTTACAGCCTTACCACTTCACTCACTTAACAGCTGTTGCATTTAACTGCCTGTTGTCATCGTAATGTCTCGACAAGCATTGATCTGAAATCATTTCAGGCAGGCAGAACAAACAGACTTCAAAACAAATTGATGAGCTTTACCGTCATCCTCTTTCATAACCCCCTGTTAGTTGTTCATAACCAAATTGCTTCAGAGTGTTTCAGACAGGATTATGCTACATATGGTGCGGATTTAATGAGGATGTATTTATGTATTTTCTATTGTTGCCGAGGAATGAGGTGATGTGAGCACCGTCATCCAAAAACAAAAGCTACGGGAGGATAAACAGTCTGCAACGTTGCTCTCTCATAGGAAAGAATGCTCCCCATTACTGTCAGGATTATATTTATTTAATACCGTTATAATTCTCCATCTGAAGGCTGCGAGACGGAAATAATTACTAAAATGTTGGTAATTTGTACCTCACTAATAAGAGGAATTGTTAATTTTTTTTGCCTTGTATCAAATTTAACCTGCTTCCTCTTGAGGTTTAAAATTAAGTCTTAAGGCTGAGTAACAATAACCAATTTGTTTTGCAGCCTTGAAAAGTGAAACCTTGGCTGACCCAGCCCACATGAAAAAATACATTACATTTACATTTACATCATTTAGCAGACGCTTTTATCCAGAGTGACTTACAAATTGGTGCATTCAACTTATGATAGCCAGTGGGACAACCACCTTTTTTTTTATGGAGGGGTGGGGGAGGGGTGGGGGGGGGTTGAAGGATTACTTTATACTATTCCAGGTATTCCTTAAAGAGGTAGGGTTTCAAGTGTCTCTGGAAGGTGGTCAGTGACTCCGCTGTCCTGGCGTCGTGGGGGAGCTTGTTCCACCATTGGGGAACAGTACAGTACTTACTGTAGATTTCTATAGTGAACTGTAGTATACTGTGGAATACTATACTACACCCTGTAGTAATCCTCTATCATGTGTAGTACTTACTATAGAATGTTGTAGTATACTGTAGAATACTACAGTAAATACTACAGTATTATCCGAAAGAAACAAATAACTTTTGTAAATACTACAGTAATGTCCGCAAAAACACTACAGTCCACAAAAAACATACACTTTTGTAACTATAGTAAATTCTACAGTCGTGGTCAAAAGTTTTGAGAATGACACAAATACTAATTTTCACAAAGTCTGCTGCCTCAGTTTTGATGATGGCAATTTGCATACAGTGGGGAAAAAAGTATTTAGTCAGCCACCAATTGAGCAAGTTCTCCCACTTAAAAAGATGAGAGAGGCCTGTAATTTTCATCATAGGTACACGTCAACTATGACAGACAAAATGAGATTTGTTTTTCCAGAAAATCACATTGTAGGATTTTGAATGAATTTATTTGCAAATTATGGTGGAAAATAAGTATTTGGTCAATAACAAAAGTTTCTCAATACTTTGTTATATACCCTTTGTTGGCAATGACACAGGTCAAACGTTTTCTGTAAGTCTTCACAAGGTTTTCACACACTGTTGCTGGTATTTTGGCCCATTCCTCCATGCAGATCTCCTCTAGAGCAGGGATGTTTTGGGGCTGTCGCTGGGCAACACAGACTTTCAACTCCCTCCAAAGATTTTCTATGGGGTTGAGATCTGGAGACTGGCTAGGCCACTCCAGGACCTTGAAATGCTTCTTACGAAGCCACTTCTTCGTTGCCCGGGCGGTGTGTTTGGGATCATTGTCATGCTGAAAGACCCAGCCACGTTTCATCTTCAATGCCCTTGCTGATGGAAGGAGGTTTTCACTCAAAATCTCACGATACATGGCCCCATTCATTCTTTCCTTTACATGGATCAGTCGTCCTGGTCCCTTTGCAGAAAAACAGCCCCAAAGCATGATGTTTCCACCCCCATGCTTCACAGTAGGTATGGTGTTCTTTGGATGCAACTCAGCATTCTTTGTCCTCCAAACACGACGAGTTGAGTTTTTACCAAAAAGTTATATTTTGGTTTCATCTGACCATATGACATTCTCCCAATCCTCTTCTGGATCATCCAAATGCACTCTAGCAAACTTCAGACGG